ACTCTACTTATAAATGGCAGAACATAGATTCAAATACTTTTGTATATTCCAGAGCCTTAGCTTTTAGCTACTATACTATGCTGTACTTCTACTCTTGGGTTTAACCAATTCCATACTGTCATCTCAATCTAATGTCTTCATTATTTCACAGATAGGTAAGCATAATTAGATCTTAGCTGATCAACTTCCCATGACTTATTTAATTCATCTTGTATCTTGCTGCCAGATCAAGCAACTTAAAGCATTAGCTTTATTATGTCTACACAGCCACTCCTCGGAAGGAAGGTTGGGCAATCTACTTCCATAGTGATACCGCTTCAGAAACCCAAGGAGGGGTTGTTATGAGTCGGGTCTGACTTGACGGCACATAACGACAACACGCCATAAAGGTGCTGGTACTCAATGTTAGGCCAGACCTTATCAGCAACATGGACCCTGGCATTTGGGAACCCATTTTAAATAGATGATTCTATCATCTTATTCTATTGTTTTATCTTACTGCAGATCTATCTGCATCTTGTGGAAAGTCAGTTCTATATACTTCTTACCCCTATTGTTACTGTGTCATTCCAAACAACTTCCCCATACCCTCTCCCACAATCCTTTATTGCTGTGATTTGTAATCACTGCTCTCAGTGCAACCCTCTTATGGCCCACTTTCCTTGGGTATACCTCCTCTTCATTCACATCAGAACCTATTGTGGAAGATCTGGTTATGTTTCAGCTAATACCTACAGATCACAGAGAGAAGACCCAAGGCTCTTTTTCTGTCCACTCCCTGAGAACTAGATGAAGCTGATGAAGCGCAAAGGACTGACAAACCAGGATTTTACTCCTAGACATACAGGACCAGGCAGGTAACGTAAATGGGTGAGATGGGGGAGTTGTGGAAAAGGGTTACCCAAACCAAAAACCAAACTCACTGCCATGAAGTCAGATCCAACTCATAGCGACCCCTCCTTGGGTTTCTGAGGCAGTGTCACTATGGAAGTAGATTGTCCATCTTTCCTTCCAAGGAGTGGCTGGTGGGTTTAAACCGCCAGCCTTCTGGTTAGCAGTCAAATGCCTTAGGTACTACACCACCAGAGCTCCTGAAAAGGGTTACAGTATTACAAAATCCAAAAGAAATAGCATCTTTACTTTGGCATTAGGGTGCAGTAGAGAGTGGTAGGGACTGTGTAGAATGGGGAATTGATCCATTTAAAGGGAGCAGCCACTACTCAGCATAAGATACCTTTTGCTATGAGGGAAGATGGGTTCTCTATCTTCATATATGCCAATTTTTCAAAGGAACCCAGAAATATAAATATGTGAAATCTCTTAATTTTTAATTCTTGGCAATTAAACCAAATTTTAAGGTAATACTCTGAGAGTCAACCAGTAAAGCCTTTGCTAGCATGTTATCACCTCAGGTCCTTTTAAGGATCATGGAACTCTGAGTCACTGGTGAAGGGAAGAAGATACTAACATTTTAAAGAGGAGGACGAGAGAGGGAAAGGGAAAGCTAGAGAAACAGAACAGATGGGCTATCTGAATCTCTAGCTCCCATATGAACTCTGAAACAGATTGGAATGTTGGACCTGAATCCCAAATAAGGACTCATTTATGTCTATGCAGTTGGCCAGATTGAACCATGTAGTATCCCCTTGTTCTGTTCCAATGACAGTCTCTTGGTCTAGGTACAGGTTCCTCATGAGCACGATTAAGTGTTCTGGAATTTCCATTCTTTACAATGTTATCCATAATTTGTTATGATCCACACACTTGAATGCCTTTGCATAGTCAATAAAACACAGTAAACACCTTTCTGGTATTTGCTTTCAGTCCACATTCATCTGACATCAGCATAATAGCCCTCTTTCTACATCCTTTTCTGAATCCAGCTTGAATTTCTGGCATTTCCCTGTCAACATATTTCTGCAGCTATTTTTGAATTATCTTCAGCAACATTTTACTTGTGTGTGATATTAATGGTAATTGTTTGATAATTTCTGCATTCTGTTGGACTGCCAAGAGGCAGTCATTCAAACAGACCAAAGAGGTACCACAAGGTTTAAAATCAAGAAAGATGTGTGTCACTGTTGCATCTTTTCACCATACTTACTCAATCTGTATGCTGAGCAAATAATCCAAGAAGCTGGAGTATGTGAAGAAGAACATGGCACCAGGATTGGAGGATGACTCATTAACAACTTGCGATAAGCAGATGACATATCCTTGCTTGCTGAAAATGAAGAGGACTCAAAGCACCTATGATGACTATCAAAGACTATAGCCTTTCATATGGATTACCCTTAAAAAGAAAATAACAAGTCTTAAACTGGACCAAAAAAAACATCGTGATAAATGGAAAAAAAAGGTTGAAGTTGTCAAGGATTTCATTTTATTTGGATCCACAATCAGTGCCCATGGAAGCAGCAGTCAAGAAATCAAAAGACGAATTGGATCAGGCACATTTGCTGCAACTGACCTCTTTGAAGTGCTGAAGAACAAAGATACTGCTTTGAAGACTAAGGTGCACCTGATCCGAGCCATGGTCTTTGCAGCAGCCTAATATGCATATGAGAGCTGGACAGTGAATAAGGAGGACTACAAAAGAATTGATGCTTTTGAATTGTGATGTTAGTGAAGAATATTGAATGTACCATGTTCTACTAGAAGAATAAACAAATCTGTCTTGGAGGAAGTACAGCCAGAATATTCCATAGAAGCTAGAATTGACAGACTTCGTCTCTCGTACTTTGGTCTTGTTGTTAGAAGGACCGTTCCCTGGAGAGGGATATCATGCTTGGTAGAGGGTCAGTGAAAAGGGGCAAGACCCTCAGTGAGATGGATTGACATAGTAGCTGCAATGATGAGCTCACGCATGGCAATGATCATGAGGATGGCATAGGACTGGGTAGTGTTTCTTTCTGTTGTACACAGGGTCGCCTTGAATCAGAACTGACTTGACAGCACCTAACTTAAAATAAGTTTAAGCACGAGCTTAAAATGAAACTGGGCAAGAGCAGCCCCACATGGTAAGTATGCACTGTTAGGTTTACATATGTTTCTATATTACCAAACAAAGTCATCTTTTTTTTTTTTAAATTTTTATTGTGATTTGGGTGAAAGTTTACAGAACAAATTCATTTTCCATACAGCAGCTCACATACACTTTGTCTCATGACATTAACTGCAATTTCCCACAATGCAACAGCTCCCCTCCCACATCCTCCCCATAGTTATCTCTTCCCTGTGTCCTTCCCTCCCATGGACTCCTACCCCTTGAGCTGTCTCCCTGTGCCTACACAGCCCTTCTATTCTTCCATGATTGATCTCTCCAAGGAGTGTTTCTACCTAATGTAAATGTTCATTTCAGCTCATAACCGAAAACTCACTGCTGCCAAGTGGGATCCAACTTATAGCGACCCGTCCTTGGGTTTCCAAGGCAGTATCACTATGGAAGTAGATTGCCCAACCTTCCTTCTGAGGAGTGGCTGGTGGGTTTGAACCGCCAGCCTTCTGGTTAGAAACCCAAGGAAGGGTCACTATGAGTCGGGATCAACTCGATGATAGTGAATGAGTGAATGTGTGTCACTATGGTAGTGACAGCACTATGCCACCAGAAGCTCTGTTCAGCTCACACGCCTGTCTTTTGTTTGGGTGGAACCCATAGGAGTGGGTTCAATTCCAAAGTCATCCTTCTTTTGCAAAAAACAGTGTGATTTGGTCCTTCAATTTTGCGTGAATGGTATAATGTATCTAAGTAAACAAGAGAGTAAAGAAGGTTTTTAAATGCTTTTATTTTTTCAGCCCACATATTTCTGCACCTCTCAGGCTCTTGCTGAATCAGGAGAGCTACTAATACATTGGTTAACGGCATAAAAATTATGCTTTGATGTGCCGAGGTAATAATGTACTTCTTAGGTATGTTAATAATAAATTAAGGTTATGATGGTTGCCATTTAGAGAAAATAATGAATAGATTAGTGTCAGCTACATAACATTAGTTTTGGAAGTAGATAAGCTAGAGATATCAAAACTGCAAAAAATTAGTTGCAGACAACATGCTACTGTATGCAGTTTTTTTGAATAACATTCAATTGTAGAATGTATCACCTTGTACAATGCCTGATACATAGTACGTGTAAATGTTTGTTGAATTTTATTACTACTTAACAGTAATTCTCCTCAATAGTAATACCTGTAACTCAGATAAAAAATAGAGTTTTGTAGGAGAGTATTTTTGTTTGTTCCATGTAAAAATACCTTGTTTCTTCTAGAGAAAATAGCAGTGGCAAATGACAGAGAAAAAAAGAAAGCATATGTATGTTATAAAAAGTGATTCCAACTCAAATTATTCAAAGAAGAATGCTTTGACTCTGTGTTTATAGTCTCTGCTGACAATATATTGCAGTATTTTTTTGCCTCATTCTTTTTATCTATTTATTTTGGCTTTATGGAGATTAGGTCTCTAGTCACATGAATCTCCATGGCTTTCATTTGCTAAACTTTCGTTCCTTCTTTTTGTTCTTGCCTGGTTCAGAAGGACATGCCAGGGTGGTGTGTTTCTTTTTCAGATCTTAGAAAGGATCTGGGCTGTGGAGACAGTAGAGGAAGCTTGGACTGAGTGGCTTCTTGGCTCTCAACTCACCTGTTCCTAGCCAGTCTAGAAGCCTTTTTACAAGTGTGTACTGATTAACTATTTTAGTTCTTGGGCTTTGCGAAAGTTCCTTCTCCCAGTGGAATTTTATTAGGACATAACCAGGCTAGAAAGGCTGTGGGAAATTTTGGAGGTAGGAGGATAGGATCCAGAAAGGATTACAGTAAGAAGAAGGGAATTCCTTTTGGTGAACTCCATAGTCTAAAGGCAGCCTTGAGCTGATTCCAGTTAGGAACCAAGGGTGGACTTTTCTTCTTTGGTCCTTTGACCCTTTTCATTTCCCCAGGTAGGGACAGGATACTTAGGCAGCAAGAAAGAAACCAGATTTAGGTGAGTCCTATCATTTCTCTTTCATCTAAACTTCAGCTTCCAGGCACCGCACTGTGGTTTTAGGTGGACTCTTTGGCTCTTCTGTCTTTTTATCAATTTTCTTTGATTCCTCGGTAGAGTTGCTATCATCAACTTTCTCCTCCTTCACTGTTTTGGTTTCAATCATTTCCTTCTGCTGACTCTTGTTTGTAAAAGGGAAGGCCTTCACATACCTTTAGGTATAAACATGCATAAAGTGAGAGATTTCCATGTAGCACACATAACAATAGACAGTATGTTATCTGTGATAGCACATGTGGGCACAGTACACTGGGTGCCTTTATTTCAGAGTGATGCTAATACACACATGCTTAAAATTATTAACACATTCCACCTTAATGGATTCATTTAGAAAAGATAAGTCCACAGGCCAAACTGTAGGCTGACCTCACAACCCTTCCACTACAACAAAGAATAAAAGAACAAATAAAGCATATAATTTCCCCCCAGATGCCAATATTTTCTTTCTTCTTCTTGATTTTCAAAGGGAACTATTGACCTATATCTAAAATCTGGATGAAATGTATGTGCTAATATAGTAGGAAAGATTGAGTGGCAGGGAGAAGAGGTGAGAGGTGGGAGATAATTTACAGATTAAAAGGACTGTTAGCGCCAGTTTGACCAAGAAAATGCCAGTAACAACTCTGGCAAAACACAAGATAGGGATATGACAAAGATTCCAAGACTAGCAATGTGCCAACAACCTCACCTTTTCACGTAGCAGACTGCGAGACCAGCTGCAGCGGCAAAGAAGAGGAGGGCAAGCACTAACAGAGCTGTGGGAACACCTGGAGGAAACAGGGTGTCACTTGTACATTGTCATGTGTTGCTCTTTTAAAGACTTATTTTTACAAATTATTGAAGTAAGAGCTAGTGTAAGAGAAAAGCCTTCCCTGTGACCACACAGGGGCCACTTATGATGGTGGGCTCACATCTGCTTCTTTGCTTCTTGTCCATAGAATGTTTGGCCCTGCCCTTCAGGCTTGCCTCTGTTCTGTAAGTCACAGTGTGGCAGAATTCATTTTCTCTCTGTGGAGCTAATTAAGTGCAAGACCCCCTATAGGAGAACAAATTTTCTAGTGGAAGGCATTGAAAAATATGTATTTAAAGCAACTTCTCCATATTAACAGCTAATGAATTATAATTTATTTTTAATGTCTTCAAGGCTATTTTATCCTCACAGTATTTAGTTTAATCATTAAGGACTTTTACAGCTCTCAAATTCTATTACTTTTTGAAAGTTGAGTTTACGTTAAGCTTTTATTTGTATTTGGCAGGTCCTATGTGTCCAATCTGGAGACAAGCTAATTTGTATGTATTGTCTGTTATACATAAACACTAACACAGACACAGAAAGCTCTTACCTCCAAACTCAGCAGCTTCATTCTTAAATGCTGCTTTACTTCCAATATATGAGTCACTTTCTGTACTAGTACCCATGGTACTAGTTTCCATCAGAACTTCTGTTACACAAATTAATTTTCGTTTCCGTGAAGTAGAAGTGGAAGCCCGAGCAGGGGCGGTGGTGAGAACAGGGGCAGAAGAAGGGGGTGAGGTTGCATATGTACTGTCACTGACATTAATTTCTGTTGCATATGTTGAAGTTTGAGGGTTGAGTATGGGATCGTTGGTGATAATTTCTGGAAGGCATGAGTTAATCCAAATATCTGTCAGGAGAGGTAAAAATGAAACAAGTAAGTATTACAACAACCTCCTGCCTGGTTTTTCTGCTTGTCTTACCTCCTTCCAGTCCCCCTACACTGTAGCTAAAATGATCTTACCAAAATGTAAATCTAGTCATATCACTTCCTTCCTTAGAGTCCAGCTTCCAGGCACCCTACCGACTGCACGGCCTATAAGATTCTCCCTGATCTGGCTCCTGCCGACATATCCAGCCTCATCTGATCAGTCTGTCTCTCAATTTTCCAGCCATACTGAAATTCCTTTAGTTTTTGATCTGCTTTCTCTCACATCCAAGCCTTTGGCTGTGATGCTTTCTTTACCTATAAGAAAGCCTCCTCCTTATTAACTAACTTTGACCTATGATCCAGTTCTCAGACTGAGCATCTCTTTCTTAGGCAGACTTATTGATTTGATTGGGACCCTAGGCATTTGTCTTGTACTGCCTTGTACTTCACTTGTCACAGTTTTTATCATGCTCTTCCTCAGCGGGCTGTCAACTCCCTGAAAGCAGGAACCCTGTCTGTCTTGTTCATCATGGTGTGTGCACTGTGCATGCTCAATAGATATTTGATGAATAAAGGAAGAAAGAAAAAATGAAGGGAAGGAAGGAGTAATGAGACCAAATATACACACATAATACCACTTTGGGAAAAGGATCTGCTAAAATCAGATTTCTCAGTGCTCATTAAAAAAAGTGAAGAGAAAAAAAAGAAATTAACATTCGTTAAGCATTTTACTCTGAGTCCACCATGGAGCTTGGTGTTTAAATGTTAGCTATCAAGTGCATTATTCCATTAACATAATTGGTTTTTAAAAATTAAATAAATTACCAGTCAAGGTCATGAATACTACTGATAAAACATTTTGAGCATACATGTGTTAAGTCAGTATTTTATACTATCTATTTTACTTTGAAAAGACCTTAATTTAAAGTATCATCCTTTGACCTTCTCTGCCCTGAACTTTTTTTTTTTTTTTAAATAGTGTGTTTTAGGTGAAAGTTTATATAGCAAATTAGTTTCTCATTTAACAATTTTTATACAAATTGTTTCATGACATTGGTTACAATTTTTGCAATGTGTCTGCATTCTCATTATTCCCACTCAGCTCTGTTTCCATTTATCTAGCTTCCCTACCCCTCCTCGCCTTGCCTTTGCTTTTGGGTACATATTGACCATTTGGTCTGATATGATTGATTGTTTAAGGACATTTTTCATGAGTGGTAATAAACAATACAAAAAAAATTGTTTATTTTATTAGCCAATCTATTGGCTGAAAGGTGACCTCTAGGAGTGGCTTCAGTTTTGAGTTCAAGGGATATCTTAGAGCAATAAATAGTCTCAGGAGTTCTTCTAGTCTCTGTCAGTCTAGTAAGTCTGGTCTTTTTCTAGGAATTTGATTTTTGTTGTACATTTTTTTCTCCCATTCTCTCCAGACCTTCTGTTGTGTCCCTGGTCGGAATGATGGGTAATGGTAGCCAGGCACTGTCTTGTTCTTTTGATCTCAGGCTAGAAGGGGCCGTGGTTGTGTGGCCTATCAGTCCCATAGACTAGTTTCTTCCTTGAGTGTTTGGTTTCCTTCATTCTCTTTTGCTCCAGATGGAAAGAGAGCAGTAGTTGTATCTTAGATGGCCATTCATAAGTCTTTAAGACCTTAAACACTTCTCACCAAATTACAATGTGGAATATTATCTTTATGGACAATGTTATGCCAGTTGACTAAATTGTTCCATGATACTATGGCCCCAATTCTTTTAATCCAGTAAACTGATACTGTGAGGTATTTGGATATGTCTAGGAGGTCTCTGTAACTGTGTGCTGTATTAGAATATGTGCATATAGCACACCCAAACATGTATGTACTTATGCCTACAAATGCACTTATATATGCACATCCATGTACTCACATATACCTTCCCATATATATATATATATATATATATATATATATAAATATATAAAATATACATACTTATCTATGTAATCACACACACTTTTTTGGTTATTACTGTTACATGTTACAGCATTTATTGTAATTGTCTTTTTTTCTTGCATACCTCTCACTGTCATCATTTACCTTGGCCAAGTTGTGCTGACTTTCCCCATATTGCGTATTGCCTTTCTCATCACCAGAAATAACAGATGTCTATTATCTAGCAAAAGGAGCTCTGGTGGTGTAGTGGATAAGGTACTTTACTGCTAACCGGAGGGTCAGTGGTTCAAACCCACAAGCTGCTCCACAGAAGGAAGATGGGACGATCTACTTCCATAAAGATTTACAGCCTTGGAAACCCACTGGGGGTTGCTATGAGTTAGAAACGACTTGATGGCAGTAAGTTTGGTTTTGGAGTGAGTTTATTATCTAGCAAAGGACTCTGGTGGTATAGTGCCTAAGGCATTTGCCTGCTAACCAGAAGGTTGTTGGTTCAAACCCATCAGCCACTCCGCAGAAGGAAGACTGAGCAATCAACTTCCGTAAAGATTTACCACTTCAGAAACCCAAAGGGTGTCGCTATGAGTCAGAATCAACTCGATGGCAGTGAGTTGTTTTTTTGGGTTATCTAGCAGGTGATTCCTTCCTCCCCTTTCTATCTCCTGTAATTATCAAAGAACATTGCTCTCTATATGTATACCCATTCTTGACTTTTTATAAAAGTGAAACCATACAACATTTGTCCTTTTGTGATTGTCTTATTTCATTCAGCATAATGTCCTCTAGATTCGTTCATGCTATAAGGTATTTTACAGACTCACAATTATTCTTTACAGTTGTTTAGTATTCCATTGCATGTATGTACCACAATTTGTTTATCCATTCATCTGTTGATGGACTGCCCTGAACTCTTAGCTACATTTCCCATTCTTGAATGTATGCTAAATTCTTCTCTTACGAAATGAATATTTTTGAATGTCAGTTGAAATAAAGCATATGGAACACAATATATTATGGTGAAAAGTAGCTAGTCATTGAAGATCTAGGGCAAAAGTATTCCAAGTAAAGAGAACAGAAAGTTCAAGAGCCTGAAGTAGAATGAATGTAGAATGTTTGAAGAATAAAAAACCCAGCAGAACTGGAACAGAATAGTAGTCCATCTAATAAGGAAGAGGGAATAACAATCCAGTCAATAAGAAAAGCATGACCTAAGAATTCAGAAGTTTGAAAATGTAGGTATATTAGAAAAATGACAAAGAACACAGTGTCACTGGAGTGTAGAGTGTGCAGGTGATTGGAAATGAGAAAGACTGAAAGCAGAATCATGATTGTCACATGAAAGCACTTGGAATTTATTCTATAGAGGAGAGAATTTTCAACTGAGATCTACAAACATCCTGATACAATATACAAAATGTGAAAGAGGCCTCATGGTTTACATAATATAATAATATTAATAATTATTATATAATATATAATTATTATATATTATATAATATTCTCAAATGAGAAGTCAACAGAGGCCATAGAGAAGAAGAGTAACAGTTATCAGTGGAAGATGACAAGCAGAAGGGAAAGAGTATAATTTAAAAGCAATTGCACAGAACTAAAAGAATCCAGAAGTGTCTGGAACCCTAAAATGTAGATCTTAGAGATCTTCTAGAGGAAAGTGTTTATCAACCCTGGCTGCACATCAGAACCATCTGGGGAGCTTTTAAAAAAGATTGATAACCAGGATCTACCCTAGGCGTGGTATGCTATCGATGTGTGAGCATCACTATGGAAGGTGTTACAAGGGAGTAGCATGGCACAATATAGTTAGCTGAAGATTTAAATGTCATCTCTGTTCCTTGTGGACTGTGACCATAGGTAAATTATACTCTAACAAAATCCAAACCAAATTCACTGCCATCAAGTCGATCCCAACTCATAACGACCCCCATTGGGTTTCCAAGGCTGTAAATCTTTACAGAAGTAGATTGCTGAAGATGGAGGAATAGGCAGACAAGTGACACAGACTCTCTTCAGCAAAGAAAAGAAGAACCAATTGACAGAGATACAGAAGATAATCCTGGAGCCCTGAGCTTTGAAAGGAACTATACAGAAGTACATTAGGCACCAACTAGTGGAAAAACCTGACTGAAAATAATGAGTACAGAGATGGTCGGAGCCGTGGACTGTCAGCTACTCTGATGGGACCAAGAGCCTGAATATTTCCAAGTGGAATTGGACCTGAGAATTGACCTAAATGTGCTGGTGGCCTATGACTAGGAAGGGAAACAGCAAGGAGGGAGACAACCTGAGTTGTGGACTTTTCGCTTTCCAGAGGGCACAGCCATTTTGATTGTTTACAATCAGCCAGTTTGGATATTTAAAGTGACAGAGGGTGTAGCCATTTTGAATCTTTACAAGTGGCAACCATTTTGAATTTTAAAGTGATAGCATTCTCATTCGGATTCCAGGGACCTAAGAATATACTCTGTTTGCCAAGGTTGGCAGGGACATATGAGAGGTTGACAACAGTAAAGGAGACAGGTGGTGAGTGTATAAGTGCTGTCACCTGGCGAATCGAGGAGCACAGTACCCTGCTTGCATAGATAACATACAAGCAAAACAAAGAAAATGAAAATTATGGGCAAGTCACTCCAACATATAATCACCAATTAAATATAAACACAAAAATGTCGCAATGCCTCGGAGACAACAGAGCATCACAGTCCACACAAAGAAGCAAGATAAAGCAGGAGAAACAAGGGACCAGGATATAGTCCCAAAACACATCCCTGAGGAAGACGCAGCATTGGAACTCTGATAAGAAATTAGAAAGAGTTATATATAGGTATTTTCAACAAATTGAGAGACAGATCAAGGAAAACACAGAGAAAACCCTACAATTTCAAGAGACAATACAAGAACAAAATGACAAAATAAATGAAAAATTAGAAATGATACAAAATCTACACAGAGAAATCCAGAAGATTAATACTGAATTTTCAGAAACAGATAAGACATTGAATGGGCAAAGGAGCAGAATTGAATCAATGGAAGACAG